ATCATCATCATCATCATCATCATCTAGGGCCAGTGGCGCATGCCTTTAATCCCAGCACTCAGGAGACAGAGGCAGGAGGATCTCTGTAAATTCGAGGCTAACCTGGTCTACAGAACGCATTTCAGGTCACCAGGCTACACAGAGAAACCCTGCCTCATAAACAAACAAACAATCACATAAACAAATAAGTAGAAATTTAAGTAAATAAGATATAGAGGTTTCGATGTCAATCTCTTGTCAGGCACCAACAAGGAGTCTCAGGATGTGTCCCTGACGGGTAAGGAGGACAATGGTGCTTCATGCCACCACCATGTCCCTGACGTTGTCTCTGGGATATCTCACCCCCTGGGTAACAGGTTGTCTGTTGACTAAATTAATTAAAGGACAGAAAACCATATTCCCATGGACTCCCTCACCCTCAGGATTAATCACTGAAAGTATAACCCCCTTTAACCTTGACCATGGGGACTCAGCTCACTGCTGTCCCTGCAGCCAGGTTCCCTCCAGGTCTCTTCTGGCCACCATCTCGTGACCCTTATGCTGCCCTTGCACTGCCCTGACCACCACTTGCTCAAACCTCTCATCCCCGTGGAGCTGAGAACATGAACAGCGACAGTATTTATACTTGGCCACCTTTTATTATGTACCAAGCACTGTGTTCTGTCTCAAATTCATGTCCAAGAGAGCAAGTTTGGGCCATGCTGCATCTTTGGCCTCAAGCCCAGGTTTCGATATGCAACATGTTCCCACCATAGACAGGGAGACTTTCTCAAGAGCAGGGGTATGGATGGAGCTAGGATGCCTTCAAGGTTTATCGCAACTGTGGGAGGAAAGGAAGCCTTCCGTGGCCATTGACAAAAACCCAGCAACAACAGCTGATGGATGGGGCTCAGGAATGGCTGAGTGAGGGCCCGGGGGAAGGGGCATGGCTCGGTGCAAGGCTAGCATGCAGGAGTCCCCAGTTCCATGCCTAGAGCACAACATAGCAGTGGTTAGTGACTCCCAGAGTGGGGACCAGGGCACAAGAAAGGGGTGAAAGCCACAGACAGCTCTCCATGCCCCACCTTCCGTAGCCACTCTCTCTATGGTCTTGAGGTTTTCATCTCCTAGATACAGGCAGAGATGGGTTCCCAGTGGTCCCAGGGACAAGGAACATGCAGGGGTTAAAGGAGGCCATCAAGGTAAGGGGGCTGTGGGAAGGGACAGTGGGACAGGAGCACTGTTACCTTTTGACTCCATAGGCCATGTTGAGCAAATTGTCCAGCCTGTGGAGGCAGAAGCAGCTGTCAGAGTAGCCTGTGACCCACCCCCTGTGATGTGACAGCTAGTCCACCCCACCCCCACAGCCTTCAACAGCCCGCCCCCTTCCCCCCAGCTCCCCGCCCCTTGCCGCTTGCTCCCAGCCCGGATGGACACCGCCTGGCACGGAACCTCACTCATTCGGGACTGCTTCTCATCAGCCCTGCTGCTGCCCAGCCTGAAGGATCTTGTCCTGCCCTCCTGATGCCTTCGTGGGCCCTGCCAGGAGGACCCAGGGGTTGAGAGCTTACAAAGATGGTGGTACAGCCTCGGGGTCTTCCTGAGCTCACGGGAAGGTGGGCAGAGCACACAGCCACCCCCATAGTTATCATTGTTCCCATTGACCTCCGGCTTGGGAGCAGCCAGGATTCTGGGTTCAAGTCTTCTTTTGGGTTTTTCCACACTCCATCTCAGATGAAGAAATCTCAGTGAAGGGCACGGAACAAGCTGTTCTACCCAGTTACCGTGCAGGAATATGATCATGGCTGGCATACAGAATATGAAAGGGAATGTTTGGTGGGTGTTATCCATGAGGAAACTGAGGCACAACTGGACCTACAGAGCAGGCCAGAGATAGACAGAGAAACACACCTGTGCAGAGGAAGAGACAGACGGAAAGACTAGAAGAGAACGTAAGGAGAGATGGACAGGAGATGGACAGGCACAGAGAAAGATGGGAGAGAAAGGACAGGTAGACACAAGGACAGGCAGACACACGGACAGGCAGACACAGAGAGAAAACTGGGAGACATCGTGTCCAGGTTGTTTTTTTTTTTTTTCTGTCATTGTTGTTGTTTGGTCTGTTTTTTTTTTTTTTTTGGTTTTGTTTTGCTTTTTGTCAATTTGGCACAAGTCTCAGAAGAGGAACTTCTATTGAAAATATGCTTTCATCACATGACCTGTGGGATATTTCCTTGATTGATGTGGGAGGGCCCAGCCCACTGTGGGCCGTGCCTCTTCTATGCAAGTGGGCCTGGGCTGTATAAGAAAGCAGACTGAGCAAGGAAGGTATGGACAGCCAACCAGGAAGCAGTGTCCCCCATGGTCTCTGCTTTCCGGGTTCCTGCCCTGACTTCCCCTCATGGTGAACGGTTTGCTGTTAAGATGAAAATCAACTTTCTCCTCACATTCTTTTTGGTCATGGTGCTTTATCACAGCGATATAAACCATGACCAAGAAAGACACAGGGAGAGACAGACAGACAGACAGAGACAGAGAGTCACAGCTGACTTCTCTTAGCTACCAGCTCTTGCTCTAGGTACCGGGCACACGCCTTTTCATGCTCCTGCTGGTGAGGTGTCCCTGGGTACCATGGGAAGAAAACTGGCTCAGGGAGGGCAGCTGCAGGCTTGGGGCATTTGACCTGGGGTCTGGGGACTCTGGCTCACCGGAAACGCTGTGTCTGATGATGCAGAGGACCCGCGTAGCGCCGGGCAGAGGACTGGTACAGGTGGGTGAGCAGGGCCTGCCCTGTCTTCTGACTCGGGTTGTTTGCAAATTTGACCGTGATTGGCTCAGCCGCACCTAGTGGTTTCTGCCCATTCAGTCCCTTGATGGCCTCCTCAGCCTCGATCCTCTTGTCAAAGCGGATGAATCCCACACCCCGAGAGACACCTGCCAGGGGTGTGAGGGCATCAGTCTCAGGTACTCTATACCTCTTCGTGTGACTCTCCCCTCCCTGGGACACCTGGCCCAGAGCACCCTCTCCTCTTGGCATTCTGACCTGTGGCCTGGTCCAGCAGGATTCTGGAAGTGATGATGCGACCATACTGGGAGAAGAGTTGTTCCATCTCCTTCTGGCTCATAGTCTTGGGGAGGCCACTGACGTACAGGTTAGCATCTCGAATAGAGGCAGAACTGGGGCGTGCATAGGACACCTGGGCCAGGGGTCAGAGGAGAGTGAGGGTGCATGGGAAATGACAAGGCTCAGGAATGACCCCCCCCCCACTCCCAATAGTTCATTTAACAAGTCGCTCAAGGCTGGGGCTGGGGCTGACTGGGTGGAGTGCTGGTCTGCCATGCAAGAAGCTTGGCTTCCACCCCAGCACCACATGAACAAGGTAATATACATCCTGCCATCCCAGGGCCTGGCAGATGGTGGCGGAAGGATCAGAGCTAAGTCATCCTCTACTACATATTAAGTTCAAGCCTGGCCTGGGCCACATGTGACCCTGTCTCGAAGAACAAAGCAGAAGGCTGGGGAGATGGCTCCGTTGGTAAAGGGCTTGCTGCCCAAGACTGAGTCCCTGAGCTGGATTCCCACACCCACACAAGAAAATAAAGCAAACCCAGAAGTAACCAGGCAGCCATGGAGATGGCTCCATGGTGAATTGCCTGCTGTGGAAGATGAGAACCTGAGTTGGTACCAACCAACGGTGGAGGAGAAAACCGGCTCCCAGCATCCTCTGACCTCCACATCCACACAGCAGCATGTGTGTGCACACTCCCCATAATAACAATAATAACTTTTTTATCTAAAACGATAAGTTCAATGTTCTGGTGCACACCTGTCATCCCGACCCTAGGAGGGGCCAGGCAACACCTAGCTTCACCAGCTGCCAGCATGAGCTTATGGGCTCTGCCCGGTTCTGGGTCTCAGAAAAGAAAAAGTTTGGGAGAGCCAGGAGTGATATCACATGCTTTTAATCCCAGCACTGGGAGGCAGAGGCAGGTGGACCCCTGTGAGTTTGAGGCCAGGACGTCCAGGATTGTGTGGTTGAGACCTTATCTCAGACAAAACACTTAAAGCAAACAGCAAAGGCGGTGGGGGTGGGGTGGGGTGCAGCAGGGGCTTGGCTGGAACGGGTCATTCCTCAAAGGACCTGCCCCTGCTTCTCAGACCCATGTGCAGTGTGAACTGAGCCCAGAGCTGTAAATATAAGGCTGTGCCTTTTAGGGGTGGGGTGAGGTGGGTTGGAATTATCACCCCTGAAAACTGTAACAGACTTATTTATAATCTTTGCCAACTCAAACCAAAAGGATCCAACTCACATCTGTCTTAAAAATAATAATAAAAATAATAATCATAAATTTAAAAAATAATAATTAAAACACAGGGCCCACAGGAGGGCTCAGCAGGCAAAGGTGCTCACTGCAACCCTGTCCACTGAGTTCAATACTCGGGTCACACAGGGTAGGAGAGGACTCGCTTCTGCAAGCTGTTCTCTGCCTTCCATATCCTCATGCCTAAAGAGCCCACCCTCTGATCTGTGTATCATACACACGTGTATATAAAACAAAAATTTAAATGTAATTAAAATACAAGAAAAATAGGGTAGGTGATAACTGACTATTTCAGACAAAAAATCAAAATGGAAAAACTGCCAATCCCTGATGTGTGCCTCCAGTTCTACACTTCCTCCCTTCTGACGGCCACCACTACTGACGCTACAGTTCCCGTGCTGAAGCTCCGTTCTACACAGCAGCCAAAGGGCGCCCCGCACACTAATGCAGGCTCTTCCCGGCAGACTCTTCCGTGGCTCCTTCATTCCTCTGCCTTAAGTGTGGTGGCCCAGGCCTCAGTCCCAGCATTGAGAAGCAGATCAGGTATCTCTTGGGCCCAAGACAGCCAGGACTTCATTGAGACACTGTCCAAAATTTTTAACATTCTGTTGTGGGTTTTTTTTTTTTTTTTTTTTTTTTTTGAGCTATGTTGTTTTCTATGTAGCTCTGATTGTCCTGGAACTCACTTTGTAGAGCAGGCTGGCCTCAAGCTCAGAAATCCACCTGCCTCTGCCTCTTGAGTGCTGGGATTAAAGGTATACACCATCACAGTCATCTTAAAAACTACACTTTTATAAAAAAAAGTTTATTTTGCATTATTATTATTATTGTTGTTTTTTCGAGATAGGATCTCTGTGTATCCCTGGCTGTCCTGGAACTATAGACCAGGTTGGCCTCGAATTTGCAGAGATCCACTTGTCTCTGCCTCCCAAGTTCTGGGATTAAAGGTGTGCACCACCACTGTCTGGTGTTTGTTTTTTTTTTTTTTGTGTGTGTGTGTGTGTATAAGTGTTTTGCCTACAGGTAAGAGTGTGCATTGTGTGCATGCAGTACCGACAAGGGCCAGAGAGCGAGCCCTGGCTTCCTTGCAACTGGAGGTACAGACAGTTGTGAGCTGCCTGCCACGTGGGGCCTGGGAATTGAATCTCAGTTCCTGGCAGAGCAGTAAGTGCTCCTAACTGCTGAGCCATCTCTTCAGCTCCCCAAAATGAAAACAGTTCGAAATTACATCTGAGTGTGCACACATGTGTGCATGTGCAATGCCTAACTGCAGAGGTCAGAGAGGAGCTTAGGAAGGTGGTTGGGGGGGGGGGTTGAGGACTGACGTCAGGGACTTGCTCTACCACTAAACTACAGCTTCAACCTCTAAGCTCCACGTCCACAGGCCTCGCACTGGACCAGGTCACCTCTCCACTTTCACCTCCTCTTACTTCCCCCTCCTTCCTTTTACCCGGGCACATCTGGCCTCAGGACTTTTGCACTTGCTGTTTTTGATGCTGGAAAGTCCTTTCGTGCTGGCCTTGGTGGCTGGTGGCTGTAAACCAACACTGGAGGATTCGATGGGATGGCTGTCTATCTGGAGCACAAGACCAGCTGAGCCACAGAATGAGACTGAGGCCTCAACCCCACCCCACAGAAACACTCTTCCCTCTTTTTCTGCCAGTTCAGAATTTGAAATGGCCTTCTTACCTTCCTCGATTCTCAGCTTTTTGTTTTTTAACACTAATTTGTTTTGTGTGTGCGTGTGTGAGTGCAGCGGTCACAGGACCTCTGGGGTGTGTCAGCTCTATCCTTGTACCATGTGGCTCTCAGTAATCAGGTCTGGCAGCAAGCTCTCCCATCCAGTGCACCCTCTCGCTAGCCTGCTAGGACCCTAGCTCAGGTGCTTTGCTCAGGCTTGGGATTTGTACGCATTCTGGTAAGGTCATTCCATTTGTGTCACTAGAGGACACATCTCACCAACTCTGCAGCTGCTCGCAAGTTGACCGACTCAGCCATTCAGAGCACGGGACACTGGGGAGCATTGTGGAGTGGGGAAGAAAAGTCTGCTTACAGAGTATTCTGGAACCCCGTTCATTGTGTCCTTATCAATGCCCTGGAGACTGGATACTGAGGCCCCGCCCACAAGTGTCAATGGGGTGACCAGTCTGTGGTGGTAGGTTTGTGAGCACCCCTCCCCTTCCCTCCTGCCGAGGTCTGCTTTCCGCTGCTTCTATTCAAACCTCTAAACTGAGGGAGATAGGAACCATTATCACGGCTGGCATTTGTTGGGGAGATGCATTGTGAAGCTGTATTGCTTCATTACAAATACCTAATTAGGGGCTGCTCTGCTGAAATGGGTCAGGGGTAAAGGTGCTTGCCACCAAGCCTGAGGACCTGAATTTGATCTCTCAGTCTCACAGGGTAGAAGGGAGACCTGGCTCCCAAAGTTGTCCTCTGGCCCCCACACACACCAAACTAAGTAAATGTAATGAAATTCTGAAAAAGAAGTAACTAATTAGGACCCGGGCTGTCACAAGGAACAAGCGGAAGCCACCTCCACCTTTTCCCCATGGGCCGGGTGTGGCGGCACACTCCTGTCACCCCGGCACTCCAGAGGCAGAAGCAGGCACATCCCCGTGTTTTCCAGACCTGTTTGGTCTACACGGCATACTTCAGGCCACCCAGGGTTATATAGCGAGAGCCTTTCTCAAAAAAAATCCTGAAGGACACTCCCAGAGGCCTTAAGGCCACTGAATGAAAATTTTAGTACCAAGGTGGGCTACCGTGAGTTGTTGGCCAGCGAGGCCCTACAAACCGTGGAGTCTTTGCTCCTGCTGTCGGTTGTGTGCCAGGACTAAACACCCAAATTTAAGAACTACAGTTGAGTGTTTGAGGTTCCTAACTCCAGCGCGGGCTGTGGGGGCTCTGATCATTACCTGTAGCTGCTGTGGTCAATGTTTCTGAGACAGGGTCGGGCTGAGACAGCCTCGGGCTGGGGGAGTCTGGAGGACTGTGTACACCAGGCTGGCCTGCTCACAGAGATACAGAGCTCACGAATTAGAGGCGTGTGCCTCTGTGCCCAGTTTGGAATGGTGAGTTTTGGTCTTGCTATGGAGTCCTCGACAGCAACCCTCCTGCCTCAGCCTTGAGTGATGAAATTATAGACATGAGCCACCACACCCAGCTAGGGGTGGCATCTCCCTGTCTTTCTTAAGTCTGTGTACGGAGAGTTAGCTACTGGCAATGCTCCAGTGTGTGAGAGAAGGACAGCCATAATGTTGGTCCTCACTTTCCCTGCCTTGGTCTCTCGTGTGCCACTGCAGATACGAGGGCACCTGGCCTGTCAGCCTCCAGAGTCCCTTGTCTGTGGTCCTCTTTGCAGGTGTCCACGGCCAAGCCTGTCTTTACCTGCGCCCTGGGGATTTAAAGTTAGGTCCTCAGACCTCTCTGCAGGAAGTACTTTACACACTGGTGTACTGGTTTCCTCCAAGACTAAACATCACATCCTTCTGGAAGATAAATAACTCAAACGAGCTTCAGGAAGTCCCTGAAACTGACCAGAATCAGCAGGCCCCTCCTTGCTAGAGTAAACCATAAAAGTTGAGAGTTCCCCTGAGACTTGCAGAACAGAGCTGCAGGAAGACGCTGAGGTTTAGACCAGCTGAGGCACCTGCAAAGGACACTCTCCAACCTGTGCAACTGCCTGCAGGCTGCGCAGTGTGCTCCAGGTTCCCATCCATGCAGGGGTGGGCTTTGGCGATGCAGCCATCTTTGTGTCATTTCTGCTGCTGTAAGTTACTCATTGACTCACCAAGTTGGACACTGGTGGTCTCTGTAGTTTGGTCTGCCATGGGTTCCCTATGTGGGTGAGTAGACATGTGTGTTGTGTCCC